ACATTTATTTTTCCTGCTACAGAAATTTTTGTTCTCTGCAGAGGAATAATAATCAACATCAAATTAAGTAATAATGAATCAGCTTACCATGCCCAAGTAGATGAGCTAAATAATCTTCTGGTTTCTTCAAATAGTCTTGATGAAGACATGGAAATGTCCATGTAAGGTTGAGTATGTTAACATCTCTAACAGCCTCTAGCCTATATAGTTTGCCAACTTTCCAGATAGGACCTTCAGCCTTGAACTCCAGTTTTACTTGGGGGCCTTTCTTGACATTACCATACAATTCCACAACCCAATCCTCAAGTACATCAAGAGATTCTGCAGCAATTAGAACTATTATAATTAGAATGAAATAGATCTGATATATAAGCAGAATAAAAATATTCTACTTGGTTAATTGTATACATAAATAATTGGACAGTATCACAGGAATGGTTTTTTATTTGATACAGAAATCAAATTACAAGCTAAACATCATTCTAGTAAATGCAGGATTGAGATCCTAGAAAATGAGCTTTAAGGCACAACCACACCATTTAAAGACTGATACCAACAATAATTACATCTTCACTACTAATATATACATTTTTGCCAATAAATATTGCCAAAACAGCTGTATCACCAATAAAGCACTATGGATGACGAAATTCTAATGTGTAATAGACTAATAGTGAACACCAGTATCAAACTCTACCAGTTCAAAGAACAATCATCTACAGAACAGAAACCCTAAGTAGATAAGTAATGTGATTGAAATCCACTAAGTCAAATTGAAACTGTTTCATTATTTCCATTCAAGCACGCCCTGTGTTGTGCATGATACAAAATTGATAGGTTTTAACTAACATTCATTCCCCAAAAAACAACGGTAGAAGAAAAAAGAACAAAGAGCAGAAGAAAAAAGGAAAGGAAAGGAGTATATTCACCTCCACCAATGACAACTAGCTTCATTAGTCCACCATGGTAATAATCCTTGTACAATTTTAGTATTTGTTCTCGCAAGTTGATCCCTTTTTCCATTGCATCAACCAAGCTCTTCTTATTTCCTTTCAAGCAAACATAAAAAAAATTAAAGAGAGAGAGAGAGAGAGAAGAATAAGATTGCACAATCGATTAAAGTTTTACCCCAACAGAACCTATTAAATGGGTGACCAGGTGCGGATGTATGACACTGAATTTGTTCAAGGCGGCAAGAATCATTCTGCAGAACCTGGTTAAATTCTGCATTCCATTTTGATTAACAACAAAGAATACCATTCAGCATTAGAAAATTTGCAATGAGTAATACTGCAAGCAAAAAGCTTGGATACTTTTTAAGAAACGTGGAAATCAAGAATTGTAGGTAAGACATGCACGCACCAGAATCTATAGCTTGTACCTCTCGTTCCATCGCTTCAATTTTCACTAGAGGTGAAACAAAGAACTGGGAAAATCTGACAAAATAAAGAGCCATAATAAATACAAACAGCCATAATAAATACAAACCAGGTTTCTGAAACAGAAATTTTGAAAGAGAAAAATATAACTAGAGTATTCTATACTAAGGGCCAAGTACATCCTATTAACTAAATGTATTGCAATTGGAACATATCGAACACAGAACGCTTTACTGGGCACATTAATTTAAAAACTATTTATAAACATTTTTTATCCAGTGAAACAATTATGGCGAGCCAGATATTGAGGAACCAAAAGGAACATATTGCTGGACCTTATGAATCTGAAAACCCCACTCCCATAGTTCCATTCCAACATTTTTTATATGGTTGTGCACTGCACCCCGTAAGTAATATCATTAGCATGCATTCAGAAAATCATAAAAAAAAAAAAAATGACACATAATCTAATGATTTAACCTACGCTTTTCATAGCCATATTGCGTTTTGAAACAAAAGTATGACAATCATAGATATTTTCAACTACAAATGCTGAGGCAGATGCAAGATTCAATGTCAATGCATGAAGCATCAATAAAACCTATAGCCTTGTTTCATTGACCAAAATACATCCTATAGCCTTGTTTCATTGACCAAAATACATAGTCAATACCAAGGACTTCAGCTTATAATATTCAAAGCATGAAGAGCTCAGAGTTTACCTTCTCAAGGCACCCTTAAGAAACTCTGGCTTCACTTCAAAATGGTAGCAGGTATGCTCTGCTTCTGTGTATGCATTTGATGAACCTCCATGCTTGGACAAGTAACTATCATACTAGCAAACAGAAGAGTCAAAACGAGTGGCCACAAACATAGGATACAGACTTCTCCTATTTAACTTGAGTGAAATTTTAATAAATGTTGTAGCAAGTAGAACAGATTACTTTTAAATATCTATTTTACAATTAAACAATAAGCAGAAAAAAAGATAAAAACTACCATAAACAATTTCTATAATAAATCTGAAATGGCATCGATTCCTATAAGGTTTAAGTCAAAGGGCGACCCCAAGCCAACAAGACTTCCCCGCTTTGCGAGAGTCGGGGGGCGGGGAACGTTACGCAACTGCTTACCCTTACTATGCAAGGAGGCCGTTTCCCCGACTCGAACCCGTGACCTTTCAGTCACAAAGGAGCAACCTTTCACAAATGACACAATCATACGCTGAATTAGTTGTTCCATACAGCCTGACCCATCTGCGAGCAGGTGGGCAGCAAAAGAACAAACAAGTCCTCCCACTCACATATACATAGAACAAGCAAGCTGGTGATGCTTTATATATATATATATATATAAGAAACAGAACTAAGCAGGCTCATGATGTTGCTTAAGGACGAGTAAATATAAATAGTGAGATTACATCTAGTAATCTGTATTGAGGGAAAATTCATGCGGCTTAACTATTTCCATATACGGTCAGTACACCTCATTTATGGTGCATAGCACAAGGGATCATGTGCATCTCGAAGTGACTTGCCAAAACAAAAAAAAACGAAGATAATTGGCACCTAAAAACTGAAAAGAATACTCCGAGTACAAACAGACCTCATTTTCATCTGGAAACTCTGTACTCCCCATGAAGAGCATGTGTTCTGCAAAACATTCAACATGTCAGTAATGCATGCCTCAACACTCAATAGTACGTCCCTTTATGAAGCATGTAAGCATGTGTAACACAAACCTAGAAAATGCGCAAGCCCCTGTGCTTCAAAAGGGTCGGAGAAGCTTCCTATTCCAACGCACATTGCTGCTGCTGCCTGCAAATACGACCAAACATCTTCACATAAATCAAGTTCTGCTAACTGAGCTGAGTAAACATCATCCCAATCATTAGAGTAGAATAAAGACCAGTGCCATTCTCAGTAATTGGACTTCCAAACAGCATGACCAAAAACAACACCAAGGTTTTACTCGAAGAAAAGGAGTACCCAACATTGGTTCCACTTGGAATTATGCTATCAAAGCTTCATTACCATTTTAAATGAAATTTGTACAAAGGTACCAATGGTCGATAGCTAAAGATTATCAGATAAAACAATGATGGTGGAATCTTGAAGCAGTAACCAAGTAAAAGTTCAAAACTTGAAGTTCCTATAATCTGGTATCAATCATTCAACCAAAAATTCATATTGTTTTTCAACCTAAAATCAATTTGTTAACATCGTTAAACCGATTTCATCAAGTTTCTCCAACTGGGTTTTCACTTTTCAATCAAATTAAATCAAATAAACTTGAATGCGAGATGGGCAATTTCAGAATTTCAATGGAAATCAAAATACCAACTTTCTTAGTATGAGAATCTCCTCCTTTCCCCTTCTTCTTCAGTTCACCATCTCTGCCTTCCGCTTCTTCATCTTCATCGTCATCGTCCTCTTCATCGTCCTCTCCTTCACCGTCTTCCCCTTCCTCCCCATCCTCGTCGTCCATATCATCATCTTCTTCTTCCTCTTCAGCTTCGCGGTGCTCGACGGACTTGGAGTTCTCCGGCGGCCCTTCTGGGTAAATCTCAGGATCGTGAACAAGCAATGCAGAGAGGCCGTTCTCGAGCTCGATTAACCTGTATAATCGTCTGTCATTCGGGGACTTTATTATGATATCGTCCGATTTGAAAGTGCAGCGAGCCATTGTCGGAGAGAGAGGGAGAGAGTACGGAGTCGGCTGAAGGAAGCTCTCCCAGTTCTCTCCACTGCTATGGGTCTTGAAACTCGGTAGGGGTCTTGGAGCAGCTCGGAGGAGGAAGAGCACGTTGTCAATTCGGGACGGGGGTGGAATTTATTCCTTTCTTGTGGGTCCTTCAAGGCATTTTAATTTATTCCTTTCACTAGGGTTTCAATTGCAATTTTGGTGCGTCAAGTCAGTTGGATAAAGTGAGCATGTGGTCACTTTTGCATTAAGGTACTAATTATTTATTAATTACTTGTAGTTTAAGTGGCTAATGATATCGGTTATTTGTGCGTATGAAATTTTCAAATCACTATTATTAGTTCATGTGAGGAGACAAATGGTCATCATATTATCATGGTTGGTGGAGATATTTTTGCATTATTGATTAAAATTATTCCTTATGTGAAATCGAATGTATGGTCATGATTGAAAATTAGATTTCATAATAATAGGATGTTTTATTGTCACTTAATGTCTTTGTGAGTCTTTCTAACTCCGAAAAAAATAAAATTCTGTATCGAAACCACCAGCTTTAAAAAAAAAAAAAACAAAAAAACAAAACCCTAGCATAACTATTTTGTATGGGTGAGTTCGGTTTCAATCGGTTTGGTTTTTTGCCAAAATCGAAATTTCGATTCGGTTCAATTTTTTCAGTTTTTATTCAGTTTGGTTTGATTTTTTCAGCTCAGTTTCGATTCAATTCGGTTTTTTTATAAAACCTATTTTTTTTAAAAAAAATTGAAAATTGGCCTACGCTCTACAACTTTGCTTACAGTTTTTCCATTTCATAGAAAGTAAAGGAAGAAAAAAAAAGAGAAAGAGAAAGAAGATGCAAGGAGGTTAGGTGGGGAGAAAAAAAAAGAGGAAGAAAGCAGAGGGTCGGATGGGGAGAAAAAAATGGAAGAAAGAAGAGGGTTGGGTGGGGAGAAAAAAAAGGACTTGGATTATGGGTTAATGGTTGGTCTAAAAAGAAAACTTAAAACTTTGGTCTAAACTTAAATTTGGCTTGGAAAATAAACACTCAAATATCAAATAAATAAATAAAATTAATTATATTTAATTCGGTTTGGTTTGATTGTTGAATCACCAAAACCGAAACTGGACCAAGAACGTTCGGTTTGTTCGATTTTTTTTTTCGGTTCGGATGTTTTTGGTTTCGATTCGATATTCGGTTCAATTTTTTTCGGTTTTCGGTTTTTCTAATCCATCACCCCTACTATTTTGTAGTGCTAAAAATAATTTGCATAAAGGAAGGAAAAAGAAAGACCATTAATGAAGGCCAAGTTAAGTTAAAGGTCCAAATTTTAAGCCCAAATCCGAGGCCAAATTTACAGTGTCTTGGCCCACACAAGAAACGAAAAAACCAAGCAGATAATAGACAGTAAAATTTGTGTACCATCATCACAAATAGCCCCAAATTCAAAGCTTTACGACGTTCACTTTCGTCGTTTCGATGATCAACTCAACTCTCACCCCTTTCAAAAATTCCAATCCCTAACGTTTTTCTGTCGCTCCCAATTATTGCATCGAAAAAACCCTAACTTCCCAAATAAGCAAAATCAGCGTGCTTCAAGAGCTTCACTTTTCGATCTCCGACATTCAATTTTCTTCCCTTCTTGCAGAATTAGGGTTACGATTGCCTTGTTCAATGGACTCAGACGTCGACGTTTCGCGGTGGGTCATCGAGCTCCTTCTCCGGGACCGCGAAAAGGATTGCATTGCCAAGAGGGTCCTCGCAGTCGCACCCTTCTCGGACCAAGACTATCGCTTGAAGAAGACGGTACTCCTCCGAACCATCGAGTGCGAGGTATACGAGCTTCGGTCTCCGAAACGATCCTCGAAACGCTTGAAATGATTGAGGATTTGGATATCAGAGAAGGCATTTCCACCATGGAATCCATGAAAGCCGCCTACTGCGCCGTCGCCACTGAGTGTACTGTCAAGTTCTTGGTGGGTTTTATGGGAAAGCCTAGTGGAAAGTACTTGGAGGCCGTGGATCGCATTTGGAGAGGGAGGGTTGGGGTTTTGGAGCGGTCTGGGAGGAGCCAGCTGGTATCGGCGGAGTTGAGGCATCGAATGGATGAGGTCGAGGCAGGGGTTTGGGATTTGAGAGTGTCGAAGAAGCTGTCGAGGATGAACACGAGGAATGATGCGCTGAGGTTGCTTGCAGTTTATGTGAAAGCAGCTTTGGCGTTGTTGGGACCTCCGTTTATTACTTGGGCTATTAGATTGAATGTGCCCAAGGAAGTTGCCGACTTGGAAGCTGATCAGATTACAGTGGCCAATGAGGCTAATGTTGGTTGTGGGTCTGAAGTGGAGGGGCAAAAGAAGAAGGGGGCTTATGCGGGTGACAGGACTGAATTGGAGGTACAAATGGCGAATGGGGATAATGTGGGGGCAGGTGTGTCTGAATTGGAGAATCAAATGGCGAATGGGGATAATGCGGGGGCAGGTGTGTCTGAATTGGGGAGTCAAATGGCGAATAGGGCTAACGTGGGTGGTGATGGTGGGTCTGAATTGGATGCTCAAATGGCAAACCAGGCAAATGTGGGGGTGCGTGGGTTGGATTTAGAGGCTGAAACGGAGAATGAGACTACTGTGGGTGGTCGGTCTGATATGGAGGTGCAAATGGAGAATGGGACTGATGCGGGTGATGGATCTGAATTGGGGGAGCAAATGGTTAATGGGACTAATGTGGGTGACGGGGATCAATTGGAGGAGCAAACTAGGAAGGAGGCTAATGTGACTGGTGACTCTGAATTGGAAGCACAAATGATGAGTGGAGCTAGTCTGGTTGATAGGTCCGAGCCAGAATCACAAACTGTTAATGGGACTAATGAGGGTGTTCGGTCACAAAGGCAGGCACAAACTACGAATAGATCTAATGTGGGCAGTCAGTCTGCATTGGAAGAGCAACAATTGAATGCGATAAATTTCGGTGAGGAGTCTGAATTGGGTCCGATATTAGTTGCCGTCCCATTGAAGGAAGTTCGGGCAGGGAGCTCGCCTAGTCTGAATGGGGAACTGGATCTCAGTATTGACCATACCACGAAGGATAAAGGTACTTTTTTTTCATTAGCAGAGATTAAGGTAATTTTAGTGACATTAACTTATGTGCGTGGATGGTGAGAGAATGTTTTGTATTGTATTATCTGTCATCTGTTGTTCTTTGAAGTGCATGATCTTGTTCTGGGTTGTTTAGCGTTGCCAAATATACAACTTGCCAACTCGTGCATAATATAGTTATTGCAGACTTCAGTTTCGAATTATTATATTTCTGTTTTTTTTTTATTTCTTGTAGAAAATCAAAGTGCTGTGCCTAGACACAAGCACCTTGCTCATAGACGCACTAGAGGACCAATTAGGATTGGGGATGCTGAAGATTCAAGCACAGAGGTATCAAATAGGAAAATTTGGTTCCCTTTCTTCCCCTGAAGTTAACAAAGCACAAGAAGCACTTAAATCCAGTATTTCGGAGCTCCAAGAAGTAGTGACTGATCCACTTCCAGATGCATTACGAGTGTCTGAAACCATAAGATCTGGTTTGGCAGTGAGATCTGCGAATCATGTAAATGGAAAAGATGTAGGTGCAGATAATCCATCTATCGAGAAGGGTGCTGGGCCTGTTCAATCTAGTAATGATAATGTTGGAAATCTGCCATCCAGACATCAGAATGATCCTCAATCTAGTGGAATAGAAAAGGATGTACCAAATCCGCCTGTCGACCAGGGAGGCACTGAGTCTGTTCAAACTGATGCTGCCAATCTTAGAAATGCTTCTCTCAATAATCAGAATAACGTTGCACGTTCTAGCTTGATGGAACGTAATAGTACTGCCCGCACTTTCGAGGTATTTATGTTCATGCGGTTTTTTTATTTTTTTTTTATTCGAGTGTGAGACCTGATTTGCTTTTATCTTTGGCAAGGGGAACATAACAAATTCCTCGTAAACATTTTACTGAATCCATGAGTTTCTCTGCTGTTAGTTATTTTATTCAGTTTCTATTATGGTTTATTCCCTGCTGCAATTTTGTGGTTCTGGTTGCATAAATTTGTACTCCATGTTGAAAATTGTTTTTTCAGTGGGAGGACTCAATAGATACGTCACAAGAAGGAACAAAGAAAGATGCAGGCAGGCTTCACCTTCCGAGCCCAAAGAGGACTGCTGTTTCTCCATTGAAGAAGTATGGGAATATCAGATTGACTAAGAGAAGAAAAGTTAAGAGATGGAGCTTATTGGAAGAAGAAACCTTAAGGACTGGTGTACAGAAGTAAGTTGCATTCTTCTCTCTGGCCTCTTTTTTGTTTCCCTGTTTTCCCCCTCTAAATTTAATGATTTAGATCATCATTCGGTAGGTCCTTGTCTTGACAGAATACCTGTCATTACTCATTACAACTTGAATGGATAAGTAGGATCTGATATTAGTTTGAACATTGTGTATGCTTCTGAGTCTCATTGTTTTGGTCGTTTTCACTGAAGGTATGGAAAAGGGAACTGGAAACTTATCTTGAATAGCTACCGCGATATATTCGAAGAGAGAACTGAGGTACCCATGTTTCGTAATATATTCATAAGTACATTCCGTAAACAAGTTTTTCTGTTCATCTTAAATGTCTCTACTTCATCAGTCAATGTTGTGTCTAAGACTTTTGGGGTTACCATGTCCTTCCAGGTTGATCTAAAGGACAAGTGGAGAAATATGGAAGGGTAGCGGCACCTGTGAATAGTCTGCTCGGTTGTGTTTTGGTCATCCGGTACCTTATCGGACGTGTACATTAACTTTTTGCATATTTGTACAACTACAGGATGTGGATGAAAGATGTTTTGTAGTGTCCTTTTATCAACTAGTACTAATGTACCATAGGCTAGTAGTATTTTTTTTCACTTGTAAATGAGAGATTTTAGGTTTGAATCTTGTGACGTGTTTGATATTGAAACATTGTGGCTTGACCTAAATCTTCTGCTCCTTGGTGTAAATATACCAATAATAACAAAGCCTTACTCCACTAAGTGGGGTCGGCTATATGAATCCTAGAAGTTCATTGTGCTCGGTTTTGTGCCCCATTGAACTCGATTTCAATCTCATTTTACTTTGGGAGTTCAAATTTCGCCACTTAATTCCTTGAAACTTGATTTTTGTTCCACTATGTACGATTTATGTTGAAGAGTTGTAGATATGAGGTGGTGTTTAAAGAGAAAAACTCTTGAGAAATAATTGCCAAAGCCAAAGAAAGAAAAATGCATATGATGAATTAGAATTTAGAACTAGATGAAATCGAAATCGGGTTATCATCGTTTTGAATTTTCTTGCCAGGAAATACCACTCTTCTTCTTCCATCAGAAAAGTCAGAAGGAAAGACCAAGGAAAGCAAGTAATTTCAGATACAACAAAAACAGTCGAGGTAGTTCCGAAAGCTGACACTTCCTCGACTGTTTTATTAGCCTGACAGTACCGTGCTGTAATTCGAACCTTGCGTTGTTGAGACCGGGATATTTCGGAGTAGAGGAAGAGATACGGAAGCTTCATTTTTGTGGAAAGTGTCCCTTCTCTCTTTGTCCCTTGGCATGCATTTCTAAAACACTTTCTCGGCCATTTTCCCTACTCAAGTTCCTCCCGGAACCCTTTTGTCGACGTGATCTCACTCGATCAGGACCCTTTGTATTTTTCTGCACTCATTTTCCGGCCGTGGGCCATTCGGTGCACGAAAAGTTGAATTTTCCTGCAGCCCCTATGACCAATGCTAACAGATAATCAGATAACGTTTTGTCACACACAGGTGATGGTTAACTTGCACATAGCGAAGACCAAGGCTCTCCAGCAGATGGGGCGTTGAGGGTGTGCAAAAGGTGCAGTGACATAAGGCCATGAATTTTTTAGGGGCCCCAAAACTTTTCATCATCCTTTATATTAAATATGTGTATAAATTTCTAATAAAAAAGTTTTAAACTGAAAAGAAAATTATCAATTGTCTGATTTTATCTATATTACAATTTGATTAAGTGGAACTGATACTTAACATATAAATTTTCTACTTTTATCTAGCAATAAAAAATTTGTGTATTACTTTCTTCCACTTTTCTATTGAGCAATAAAAAATTAATGTGTGTATTACTTTATTCCACAAATACAAAAGTATTTTCATATATTTCTTTCAGTTGTGCTCCATTTTTTTATAGATGAACCATAAATCATGATTTTATATTGGAGATTATTTAATTAGTAAGAAAGAATGACATTCTGATTTCAATTAAGTTTGAATATTGATTGTTGAGCTTTGTAAAATATATTGTCCAAAAATATATTTTTTAAATAAGAAGGCCTTTTTATTAAACTCGCATAGGATCTCCAAAATGTCAAAGACGGCCTTGCTCTCCAGTATATAAGGGCAATTAACATGTGTTTCCTGCCCAAACAACCTAAAGGAGAAAATATATTAACTGCAAACCCAGCAACTATGGCAAGGACTCCGGTGTGACGGTGTCTAGGGCGGCATTTACGGTCGTGCTATTATCCATGCTGGTGACTGCTCCTTACACCGTTAATGCAACGGTAACTTGTGGTCAGGTTGTCACCTTACTCACTCCATGCATCCCCTTTGGAGTGTTTGGAGGGGACGTGCCACCGGATTGTTGTGCCGGCATAAAAGGCCTGCATGATATACAAAACACCGCGGAGGATCGAAGAACTGCGTGCAGCTGCATTCAACAAGGGGCTGCAATGATTCCAGGATTAGATTATGACCGAGTTAACACGCTTGGGGATCGATGTGGTTCTCCTTGCCCCTACACAGTTTACCCCTCTACTAACTGCTCCGAGTAAGCCTTGTGTTAATTCATACACATTCCCGTTTTTGTTACTGAATTTTACGTACAAATTAGCATGCAAACAGTACATGGATGAAATTTATTTGCAGGGTAAACTGAATAATGCCTTTGAAATCAAGCTTCCTGGAAGACTATTCCTAAAAATCTAGCTACAAGAAGGGTCACTTATTGAAAGCACAATGCTTTATTTTGTCGCATTCGATTATTAATTATTTGAATATGGGTAATGGATCGTATGGATCGTATGTAATCCAAATTATGATAATAAAAACTCTTTCTTTCATTTTACTATACAAACGTTTATTTAAATAATATTGTTTAAAAGAACTGTTATTGACGCTTTGTTAAGTTTTTATGTGTTTGAAGTGCATGATGATTTTTTTGAATTGTCAATGATAGACGTCATTGTTCTATTGCTTCTGCATTTGTTTTAATTGTGAAAATTATATTTACATATCATTTATAATTTTGGGAAATGTAAATATTATTTTTACTCAAACGTGGAGATGTTTCATGTGATTCCTCTCTCAGTTCACGTGGTAGCCTTCTTCTCTCATTATTTTCAACTTACGAATTCCACCTCATTTAGATGTAAAATAAATCAAACGAAAATGTAAATTACATAAGTATGTACATCTTTCAATCAAGATCGATATTTTATTTTCAAAGTTGAAACAAATTAAATAAAAAAGATTGTACCGTTATGCATTTAATATAATTGTTAACCAATGTTATGTAACTGAAGGATTTTTGTTTTCAACCAATTTGAAAACAACAGGTTATTAGTAGAAACAATTAAATGCCATGTCCAAACGGTCAATTGAAATAAATTTGGAATAAAAACATAATTAGAAAAATTCATTGAATTTGTAGTATAAAAACTTAATTTGGAAAGTTAATTTTAAAGATATGGTCAACAACTGTTATACCAAAAGAAAATTAACTTGAATAAAAGAATAGAAAACAAAGGTAATTAAATTGCATATATTTGGTATTTAGCATGCAACATGTATGTCCCAATTGAAACGTTAACAATTACACTGCGGCTCCCCAATAAACAAAAAAAATGTAGAAGGTCCCGAGTTTGATGCTTTGGCTAGTGAGTTTGCTTGACTGTGACCACGAGTAGGGTGAAATTCTCCATAGCCTTTCCGAACTCGAAAGGGGTGCATAATTGTAGTTTGTCACCCGTTGTTCCCCTTTTGTAGGAAAAAAAAACATTAAGAATTGGAAAAAGAATTGATTTAGAGTTCAATGCAATCGAATGGACGATTTTTCTCGATAAGGTAATGAGACTTGCTGAGAGTACATGGATTCTTGCTAAAAATAAGCTTACTTTCCATCCTCAACACCCCAAAAGTGCAATGATGATTTATATATTTTTTTACAAAATTATTAAAGTCTCAACTTTGAAAAAGAATATTGGACACGGTGTTGGGTTTTCACACATTCATCCTAAGTTCGAACACTTATCTCTTTTAAATTATTGTAATAGCTTCGAACCCTTCTTTAATATAAAATAAATAAATAAACAAAAAAAAAACCTAACTTTGAATAAAAATTAAGGAGTCTTCAACAAATTCACTGTCGATCACGCCTGATCTGAAAAGGAAATATTAATAATCCGTAGCATATCTCTAATAGTTCAAAAGTGCTAATTAACAACAAAATCATCTCTAAATTAAATGGGCATTAATTTCCTAGATATACACCATTCTCCCTCCACAATAGCTATCACATATATATACATGCTAATATATCATGGCTGGTTAAGTGAAATAGTACACAGAAAAAAGCTGAAGATTAGAAGATGGCCATTGCACGAGCGCTGGTGCTTTTCTGTATTGTCACCTATGCTTTAAGCACAGGTCTGTGTAATACATATTTATTTTCATCAAATGGTGGAGTAAATTTATATTATATGTTATAGCTTTGTTGGTTTCATTAACATATTAGGCCATCTCCAACCGATGGCTGGCCAGAGGGCTCGTTTTAGCCCTCTGGCCCTCCAAGATTTTTCAAGATATTAATATTACAGTGGCCATATTTGCCTCCGTCTCCAACCGGGGCTGGCTGGCTGGCCGAAAGCAGCCAGCCCTCCAGCCCTCTCTGATCCCGTGGGGCCCTCCCAGATTCCCGAGCCCTCTGGCCTAGCCCTCAGTTGGAGACGGTTTTAGGGCTATTTTCGGCCCTCTGGCCCTCTGGACCCTTCGGTTGGAGATGGCCTTATATGGTCATGATCGGGGACACATACTTTTCAACCAAACAATTTGACAAATTTTCTAAGGGCTTTTGTTCAAGAATGTGATTCAAAATATGTGAATGTATGTATTTCAAATTATCAATCATTTCTAGATCATTTGTGTAATAAAAAATAAATAAATGTAAAACCATTAAGACATTCATTTATAGTGAAAAAAACTGACGGATTTGGAACACAAAATGATTGCCTTTAATCCAACGATTATATAGTTTTGGATTTGGCTGATTATTATAAAGATAATCTATGAAAAAATACCTAAAAGACAGGGTATAGGGATCGTAAGAAAGTGTATCAAAACAATGTATCATTCAATCCTAATCGTATTTCAATTGCATATGTCCTAATCCGATCTACATAAAACTGACCCATAAATTAATCAATAAAACTAACCATATATCGTATAGCTGACGGAGCTCAATTCATGTTTTACAGCTTTTCGAGGTGAAGCTGAACAAGACTGTTGCCACGAAGAAACATGTTGCCGTGATTACCTTCAACTTAAAATATGCAAGACGGCATCGTGCGATTATTTTTGTCTAGAGGAATGCGGGCAAAGTGGTTCTTGCATAGTTAAGGAAGTCCGTGGACTTTACCTTCCACACTGTCGTTGCTGCACTATACCTTCTCCTCCTCCTCCTCCCGGTGGAGAAATCCAAGGATCTTTTTCTCCGCGCCCCGTTTATTCACCAGAGGATAAATAACTTTTCAGTGCCGATAGATAGTGCAGGATGACATGATTCTA